AGGGGCGTCGGAGAATGAGAGGAACGTCCCATCTCCCACCTCCCAAGAGCTACTGGAGAAGGTGCCTGTGGCTACGGAATCTTCAGCTGTGAAGCATCGATCAAAACAACTTCTTCCATTCGTTTTCTGGTCATAAAGCCCACTCGCTCTGGAGTTACCAATAACAGTAGCATATTTAACATCAGGCTGCCTGGGAATTTCGCCGCCAATTCGGTCATCACGAGAGCTCTCCGAGAAGCTGCTGCTGTTGAAGTGGCTGCTGGAACAAGCAGAGTCACGTTCAGAGTCTTGAATTTTTGCAAACATTGAATCAATTACTAAGAAATCTTGCGCGTCTTCTCTTTTCAACGCTTTGCTAACAGTGACGTCCTCCAGCACTATTTCTGGTTCCAGAAGAAGAGGCTCAAATGACATTGCCTTGGGGTTCTTGATAAAAAGATGCTCAAAAGTTTCAGGCTAGAAGGGGAAAAAAAAAAAGTATTTTAATGCTCATCTATTATTTAATAGCTTTATTTCAGTATGAAGCGACTGATTTTAAGAATCACAGACAAAAAACCCAACAGTTTTGTTAAGAGTATATAGTTGAAAATCCTCTAAAACACACGTAGAAATCCTCTAAAACACGTGTGTCAGGGAAGCTGAGTGGTCCCGTTCACTTCAATATTCACGTACTGTTAGAAACAGGCAAGACAGAGGTCTCACACCCTCAGATGCCCTTGGCTTTTTACTCAGATTGTATAAAACAACAGACTTCATCATTTATGTGTAACTAAAGTAACTTTCTCTGCTGGGATTACATTATTCAGGGTCAAATTCAGCATTTCTGGACTGGCTTTGGAGTGTTCCCATCTGAACAGTGTAGGTTCGAAGTGCACAAAGAGAAAGACATTTGCTTTGGAGATTTGCCTGCTTTACTACTACCTAATGTACAGGCCTGTGAAATATGCAATAGCACAAACCGACGGCAAAACTGGGACTCCTAGCTGCAAAGGAAAATTCACCTAAAAATTCCCTCACAAACACCACGTGCATTTCCTAACGAATTCAAGACAAAACAAATAGATAAAACCAGATTCTGTGTGTATCAGCAAACCATATTTTACAGCGTGAAAGCTGCCAAAATAACATGTCAAAATAGCGTCTACAATTATAGAAAAGAGAGTAGTAACTTGTGTTGCTCGGGCTACTGCTTTAGTCTAGACTAGCTATGGGTAATGCCAGCGAGCAGGTTACAAACCGCTTTGGCGCTGGCCCCACACAAGTTTATCCTGAGCGGAGATGGTTTCTATCCTTTCCAAAATCTGTTTGCTCCCTCACCCCAGCCCCCGTGCCTGCTCTCATAAAGGCACACAACTACCACAGAAAACCCACCGGTGATGTTGCCTGCAGAGAATAAACACACCACGCTCAAGGACAGGTGTGTTGTTTGGCAAAGGTCACCATCTGTCAACTGAGACACCACAGGTCAGATATTTAATCAAATCCAACGTATAATCCTGAGAAAACCTAAAACTAGAGCACATCAGCAGCTACAGAGGAAGCTGGGTCAGCAGGCCATGAGGTGGGCACAAGCTGTGTTGAACAACAGGCAAGGCAGTTCCATAAAAGTCAGGAGAAAAGTCCCAGTCTCGGGTGACCGGCTCCCAACTCAGCTGCCCAGTCAAAACCAGAGCGAGGAATTACAAGCGACACCATATTCTGCTCTCCGGGCCAGTCTGGGGTTGAAGTTCTACTTGTCTCCAAAGCAAGAGCCCAGCCCTGAGCTGTAAGCCAGTTCCCATGCCTGAGAAGGGTTAAAATTAAAATTACTTTGCATTCCAGTTGCTAAATGCAGATATATCGATACAGGCTACTGGCCTAATTCTGCCAAGACCAGATTTTGACTCCAGCGTATATTTAACTTTACACATTGCACATCAGCCCATGGGCACAGCTAGGTAATTTAGATATGTGTGCATCTCTGCGAGACTGGTATTAATTCCCTGCAAAATATTTGTAGTTGTGTTTAAGTAATTTCTCCAACATTAGGTCATAAAGACTATTTTATTAAGCAAATAAAAGGTATTTTTATGATGTTGGCATTACGCATGTAAAGGCTTGCAAAGACAGAGTTTAGATGCAAGACTTGCTTGGTTTAATGATGATGTGAGCAATACCATCAGGATAAAATACTGTTCCATAAATGTGGTTCTGTAGTATCAAATACCAAATGTATTGGTATTTGATATTCACGCTCATTTTCCAGCGTGATTGGTACAACGTACGGAAGAGGCGTGCTTTCTACTGCACAGCAAACTGTCCAAAAAATCATGGCCAACATCCATTCCTTTCCTACTTGCATGGCTCATTAATTAAGGAACACGGCACACGAACGTGCCGCAGTGTCGCCAGGTTGTCAGCTTTGTCCTCCCTGTCCGGTTAAGACCTCGTCCGCTTTAATACGCTTCTTCCAGCAAGGAGAATCATTTCCGATGTGCCAAACCCAACATGCAAACTTCCCGCGCCTCTGGCAAGCGAGGATTGCCACGAGCTCCTTTTGCTACAGATTAAAAAATGAGACAAATAGGAGTGCAATGGATACTCCTGCAGTTCAGGGCTATTCAAAGATCCTGGCCTGGGAGCAGCAGCCATGCCCAGCCAGGCTGGGATTTAACAACCTGCACCGTCAGCTTTCCAAAAAAAGCCCGTCTCACAGGCTCTACCACTAAACTGCCCTAACACCACTAAAACTGTTTTTTCCTTCAGGATTTCTGGCTTGTTTTCTCAACCACAGATCTACAGTTAAGAGATTATTCAGGCATCTGCATTGATGTGCCTGTGTGTTTAAACAGTAACACGCACATCAGTGTTTTCAGGAAGAAACAAGCAAGCAAGCAAATAAAAAACCTCAGTAAAATACAACACACACCCGGTTTCTGCATCCTCCAAGTTGCTGCTGCACCCAAAGGCACTTAAAAGTTCAAAAGCCCATAATGGGACAGTGGAGTATTTGTGCAAATAAGATATTTGACCACTTTGATGTGCTTGGAGTCAGCGGAAACTCCCGAGCCAGCTCTCAATTCGAACAAATACTCAATTAAAATAAAAAAATGCTTTCAAGAGAGGTCAATAACTGGGCAGATCTTGCACTTGGCCTGGATAAATCCCAAACGAGTCTGATGTTTCTGCTTCCACCCTGGGAAGGGCTGGGCTCTTCCAACTCCTTTTGAAAGCCGGGGCTTGAAAGCATTCAGCCTTTTGCCAGCGTTAGTCACTAAAAAAAAGTTAAAAGCCACCAGATCTAAAGCAAGTGCTTCTGCCCGCGCGAGTGACAAACTGGTTTGGTCTGTAACAGGGGCACTTGCTCCTCGTTTTTGCAAGGGCATTTTAGGTTTTTGACCAAGCTACTTCCAGGATTTGTTATATTTAAGCAAACGCAAAACAAATTGTATTGGGTCTGTGCTGTCTTCTAACACAAATGGAAAAATCGCCTAAGAATTCTGTATAGGAAGCCTGGGAGCCTGCCCAATGGCTGAGCAGGCAGTGACCACAACTGGACTTCAAAGAATGTCCATTCATTCTCTGTTTAAATGAAATGAAGTAAAAGACGAGAAAAAAGACCCTTCAGTGGGAACGCAAATTAAATACCCTATAAAGCTTCTGCCACTAGATGCTCTTTCGTTTAGAAATATGAGCCCTGAATTTCGGTTATTAGTGTCACAATGACTACACGCTGTCCAACTCCAGGGACCAGGAGAAACCTTGCCTGCTGGTGCAAACCAGCAAAGTCCCTGTAAAGAGACACCTACAGCATTCCGCAACCCTTTCACTAATTGCTCTGAAATTTAAACATCCTCTTATGTGCAAAACAAGGTGTTGGGTCCCTGGTGCTGGCCGCAGCATCAGCTTCAGAGGCGCCGAATCGCTTCATTCAGTCCTTCAGGTAAAGGTCTGGTGTAAGCACCAGGCAGAGCTCAGTCCTGAGCAGGGCCAGACCCGTGGGGTGGGGGGAAGAAGCAGGGTCAGGGCAATACACACCTTCTGAAAATTAACTCCTTGCGCCCAGGAACAATTCTTGGGGTTTGGAACATCTTCCCAAAACAGTTTCTTCATTCTGAAACATCAGGTAAATTCTGGAGTTGGTACTGTTCTCACACACTGTACTGCTGCCGGTCGCTTTTGCTACGTCAGAAAAGGAACCTGCATAATTGTATTTATCCAGAAGGCTAAGACAATGATGCAATCATTTTAGGTGTTACAGATGGCCAGAATTTAATAGGAAAAACAAAAAAAAAAGAAATTACATACCGGGTGGCACAAAGTAACAAGCCTGTGCACTCAAGATACTTTTATTTTTAGTGCTCTGTTCCACAGAGTCTGCTGCTGCCTTTCAGTGCAGCACATCAAATACAGGAGAAAAATAACTCGTGGCTTTCCTCAGAAAGACCCTGCCCACTAGGTCATCAGGCGGGCACCGCGTCAGCAGCATCGCCTTCTTCTAAAGGCCTCTGGGAATTTCCTGCGGCAATGAAGCGCTTACCTTTGGTGAGACACCAGCAACGCTCCGAGCAGCAGAACCGAGGTTGAAATCACTATTGGCAGAACCACATACAGGCTGGCATTATCCTCGTTTTCATATCCGCCTGGAAATGAAAGGAGTTCACATCATAACACAGTAAAATAATTTGTCTGTGAACAAACAGTTTGCAACAGGGAAAAAACCAAACAGGAGAAACAATGGCTTAAACACAAAAAAACTCGATAAACCGTTTTACTGCGCGTCAACAAACCTCTACCTTGAGAACAAACAGACAAAAGGGAAGGAATTCTTTTAAATACTGAGGTGACTCCTCCCTCCCCATGGGAGCTGCTCCCTTGCTATCAAGAAATCACATCAGAGCATGTGAAATAAGAGAACAGTCCACAACTGGAGAAGAAAGAATCACAAGGACCTGGGATCCCAGCTATTAAGTTAGACACACAGGAACTCAGGTCCCTCAATCACACACAGAGTTTTCAAATCAAAGCAACTGGAGTATAGATCACTTCTTGTAACTACATTACAATTACTTTATTACTCACTTCTTTCTTTTCTGATAAGATACAGACTTCTCCTGCATGTGAAGTTTATTTTCACAAGCTCCTATTTCATAAACATGGAGAAAGATCCTGTAAATCACCTTTGGTAAACTGATCTGTTGCTCTGGATTTGCCAACTCCTTCAGCAAACACAGGGTAGAGGCTGAACCGGTACTTCTCGATCAGAATAAAGTGATCTGGAAAGAGGAAAGCAGCCTTTTGAATCACAACTACTATCCTACTTTTAAATAATAACCTCCACGGAGGCTCTGGTCACTTATCAGAGTTCAGATCAGTCCAGAGAGAGACATCATGAAAGCCATCTTTTATAGATATATGATTTAAGAAGATTAAAACTATTAATCTATATTGGACAAATCAGCATTATTCTGCCATGGAATTAACACCTTTATGGAGCTACTGTAAAAATTTCTGAGACTTAAGCCAAAATGCAAATGGAATGCACACCTTAACTGCGATAATTAGCTGGAGTACTCAATATTCCTGAACTAATTTTGTCATCTCGCCAAAAAATGAACACGCTCCTGAGCTTCATTCGTTGTTAACCTGATTATTAATGCAACAGTCAATCCTCTGCAGTCAGTCCTTTAATGAGAATCAAGAATTGCACGACTGGTCCTTATCTTAAAAGCCATTAGAAACAGAGAAGGGGGGGAAAAGGGGAATCCTAAAGTTCAGCAATGCGACATTTTTCTGTCCCATAACAGCGTAACGCGCTGTACTTTCAAGCACGCACTCACCATAAAGATAATATTTACTAATATTCGGAGGAACTCGCACCCATTTAATCTCCTCTTCTTTGTTGAGGTTCTTCCACTCAAGGACAAAAGCCGTGATGGCGTATGTGTTAGGCGAGAGCGTCCAAACCAAAATCACACACGTGCTGTTCACTGGGTATGCGTGAAGCGACTGCACCACGTTCACTGAGAGAGCGAGGAGAAACGAGCCGGGAGTTACAGGAGCTCAGAGAGCACTGAGAGGAGGGCTGGCTTAGCAGGAGAGGCATATGCTACCAAAAACACACACAGCAATGACTGCTACAGTTGCAGTACTTCCTTGTTTACTTGTTTAATTATCTTCTATACAATAAAGCCCGATCCTAAGCAAACCGATTTCTCTTTAAGCCGGCAAAGCTTCATTGACAGCAGCTACTCCCGAGCACTAAATACATCCAGCTTCTTACCAAACATCCAACAAATATCCCAGTTTTCATGTGCAGTTCCTTAATTATCACCCCTTCACCAGAAAATTATCAACAACTCTGAACTGCCACCATTTAGCCAGTACGGCATGTGCGGAGAGCCTTGTAAGCTATATCCTACAGAATGTAAGTAATTCACTAAGAATCACAGAATGTCCCAGGTTGGAAGGGACCTCAGAGATCATCTAACCCAACCCCTGTGCCATGGGCAGAGATGCCCTTAACCAGCCCAGGTTGCTCCAGGTTCATCCAACCTGGCCTTGAGCATCTCCAGGGAGGGGGCAGCCACAGCCTCTCTGGGCAACCTAACCCAGAGTCTGGCCACCCTCAGGCTGAAGAATTTCTTCCCAAGATCCAGCCTAAACCCATTCTCCTTCAGTTTAAATCCATGTCCCCTTGTCCTGTCGCTGGACACTTGTCAAAAGCCCCTCCCCAGCCTCCCTGTAGGTCCCTTCAGGCACTGCAGGCAGGGATAATGTGCCCCCGGAGTCTTCTCTTCTCCAGCTGAACACCCCCAGCTCCCTCAGTCTGTCCTCGCAGCAGAGCTGCTCCAGCCCCTGGGTCAGCTTTGTGGCCTCCTCTGGACTCGTTCCAACAGATCCATGTCCCTCTTCTGGCGGGGACATAAGAACTGGACGCAGTATTCGAGGTGAGGTCAAGAAAACCCATTAGATCTGCTACCAACCACAGGGGTTCCAGAATATGCTTAGAATATCAGAAAGAATTTTACCCATAAAAATGCTTTTAAAACTGCATTAGAGCAGTAAAGCTCTACAGACAGACCGCGGTAACGTTTCCCACAGCATGTATTTGCATGCGAATGCTACACAATAGAGTATTCAAAAGCAAAAGTCTTTATTTTATCAATAAAGCAAAGTGCAGCTGAATCAATGAAGAGGCTGCTTAGGAAGCAAAGCCAAACCTCTGAAAACTATGTACTCTGGCAGCCCGTCAGGTGAGCAGAGAACCAAGAACCAAGATTTCCTTTTGGAAACAACAAAACATTCCCTTGCAGGAATGTTGGGTGTTTCCGAGACAAAGTAGCTGTAAGATCAGCTCTACAGTAAGATTTTCTTTTTCTTTGATTAATTACTTTGTATTCCGTCAGTGGAGGGAAGACAGCCCAGTGAAAGACAACTCTTTTCCCAACCCAAAGATCGTTAAGGTTTTCAAGCGATGGAAATTTCATTTTTCAAATAGCTCGTCGGTGAGATATAGAATCTCTTTCCCATACACAGCTCAACCTATCACCATAAAACATTTTTTAGTCTAACAAAGGGAAGTTTATTACAAAGAAAGTTTTGAGTTACTGCTTGATGTTCTTACCTGTGCTCATTTGCTGTGATAGAGTTAAATTAAAATTAGCTGAAGACACTCCCACTGAATTCATGGCTAAAACCGTAATGGTGTGTGTGCGTTCTGTCCATGGAAATGAGCAGGTAGTGCCATTATCAACAGCCTCTGACCACGCACTGTCTCTTGACGTCTGATGCTTTATAACGTATCGGCTCACACTGCACAGTGAGTGATTCCTCAGCAGCGGCTGCAGCAAACGTTGGCTTTCATTAATTTCCCAGTCTTTGATTTCAAAAGCAAATGTTATTTGGGCAGAAGGCACCAATCCAGTTTTAAGAACACGTGGCCCCAGAAAGAGAATTCCATCAGACTTGCCACCCTCCTTTTAGCACAGGCACTTTAGCACAGACTTAGTTTCTTCTGTCTCTCTGAGCTGACACACTTGCTATCTCCCCACTGAAGCAGGGGCACGGGGTACAAGGAAATACAAACTTTCAGGCACCTGTAACTCCCTGGTTTAGCTTAGCATTTTTCAGGGCTGAACAGATGACTGCTTGCAGACTCAGGACTGGGCAGTCACTGCTGCACTTTTTCCTCTGTCCTGCGTTAACCTTTTGACGCTGAGCTGCCCAGTTCACACGCGGCTGCAACAGAGTTTGTACAGGCAGCTGTCTGGGAATCAGCGGTGAGTTCTGCTCAGAGATCTTGGCACCTGAATGCTATAACTTACAGCCTTTGGTTCCACATCATTCTTTTTTTCCAGGTATGAGAAAAAACCCACGCATTTTAAGTCTGTGTTTCATGGCATTTGTGTAACCAAGACTGACAGAGTAGGCTGACATGAACACATAATACAGCATGGACACTTCAGCCGCGTTAGTACTGCCCCTCAACCACCCAGAGTAACGGCACAGCGCTAGGAAAGTCTCTGTCCTACTCCATTATCACAAATTTGGGAATGATTAGCGTATAAAATTAGGTTGGCGTGTGCTAGAGAGCTGCAGGAATGATTACAGAGAATAAAAACAGAAATGGGGGGAAAAGAGTGACAGAAGACAGAAACCACCTCCCATCAGATCACAGGATCACAATCAATACCCAGCAGCAACCTCTACTTGCCAAGCAAGAAGCAGCGACACCAAAGAAGTCGTACCCCGAGTGCCTCGCGTATGAAACCCCATGAACAGTGACTGCCCAAGTTTGCCTCCCATTGCCTTTTTTGGCAATTCTACCCACAGTTTTTGGATCAAAGCAAAAAGACCAAAATCATAATTGTTCTCACCTTCCACAGGAGCGTAACATTCTTCTGCCTCCTCGCTGGATCCTCAACAATAATTCTCCAAAATTCTGGGCCTTGTAAGGGAGCTGCAAAATCAGATGGGTTTGAGAGAACGGTGTCACGCCTCGGTCTGCAAGCGGACAGGCCACCAGAGGAAGAGCACGTACCTCTGACATCCTTCACACGTGAGCAGGCTGAGCTGCTCCAGTTGCTCCAGTAACCTGACCCATCCAGCGACCTGCACCGGACCTCCACAACATACTCGACGCAAAGCTCCTGAACTTCTATCACAGCCCACCCCGGTGCGTTTGAAACTTCATAAAGCTGTAACAGAAGTAAAAATATTCAGAGTAAGAGCAAAAGGCTGCTCAGGCATCTGTAATGAGTCAAAATCCCTGAAAATGAATCCAATGAGAAATTCATACTCCTTTGCTTTTAAGGGCGATTCACTGCATGCCACAAATTCCAGAGAAGCCAGCTAGCACGCTAAAGGGCAACAATTCACACTTCAGTCTAGATTAAAAAAGACAGTACCTGCCATGTCACTTCTTCCCTGTTCACAGCATAACGGATCTGAAATTCAAGATCCTCGTTCGCAAATACTGGGTTTGTCCAGCTCACGTTCAGCAGCCCAACATTCCTGGTGATTTCTGCTTTAACGTTGGAAGGAGGAAGTGGCTTCACTAGAAAATTGAAATAAAAAATAAGGGAAACACTGGAATGTCTGTACTGACGTTTCTCATTAAATCCAACGGTTGTGGTTTACTTTCCTCTGTCCTGAGGGTGGCAGGTAACACGTCTGCTTTTCCCAGGAAAGCTGGACTGCAACGCAAAAACAACAATTCTCGAGCCCAGGCAAGCTGGCCCGTTCCCTGTAGGCAAAAGCATCGTTGATCGACAAGGGCAATGCTCACCTCACGGGAAATTCATTCCCATTTCAACCCAAACTAAAATCAATCAAGAAAATCTTTGGTTGGTATATCAAAATCAAAGTTTCTTAAGGAATAAACATTTTATTCCAAAAAAATTAAACCATCCAAAAACCCACACGCAAGTTTCAGTGCATTTCATTTTAATTTAAAATATTGGTGCCAGCACCTGGTACCTTCCCTAGTGAGTAGAGCGAAAGATTGTACCCTGGCACTGTGGGGTGCACATGAGTAGTGGAAATGCTACATTAAGTTTTTATGTTCCTAACAGGAAATCCCACCAAAATTGAGCTTTTCCAGTAGACCAAAGGCAACTGCCGCAAATAGTTCTGATCATCAGCGAACTAGCTCATCAAAAAGGCACAAACAGCCCTTTTTAAACTAGACAGGAGCAATCCTGAAAACCACACAGTGACAAAATTAATAGGAATAATAGTAATAATAATTCCCATCTGCCACTTAGCTATAATGCACTGAACTCTGCCTCACAGGAAGCTGTGACAGTTTTTTGCTTATTCTATCTAAACGTTGAAATGCAGAGGATAGTTCAGTTTCACTGGTGTTCTCTGCATGCACACTTCCCCCCACACCTAATAGATGTATTTTATTATTCTGATTTATTTCATGTACCACTTCTGGGGTCTAGCTGCCACGTTTTCTCTCTACATGTGTTCACATTTGTATCCAAAAAATACGCAGCCCCATGAACACTCTGAGCCACAGAGCAGACAGTAAGATGTGCTTTGCACATTTTGCAGTGTTCAAAACACTTCTCATCCTTCTTGCTTCTGTACAAATTTAACTGTTCCACGTATTACAGCAGAAACTTTGCAAAAAGCACGCAAGAGCATGAACAGTCCCTACAATTTTAAATGGATGTTCAACTGTGTAAGCAGCACAGAGAGCGCTGTGCGGTATCAACAACTAACTGAAGACCGCGGAAAAATTAGACAACCAAGGGGACCTTAAAAACGAGACTGTCTTTTTTAACCTAACATTCACATTTTCTGTAGGTGTCTTTGCAAAACACCTGAGAGGATAAACATGAAAAACTGGATGTTTCACTTCATCGGCACCTGGAATCCTGTGTCCAGTTTGGGGCTCCCCAGTTCCAGAGAGACAGGGACCTACTGGAGAGAGTCCAAGGGAGAGCTACGAGGGTGATCAAGGGACTGAACATCTCTGCTGTGAAGAAACACTGAGAGAACTGGGGCTGTTCAGCCTTGAAGGGAGACGGCTGAGAGGGACCTTATTAACATATAGAAATATCTGAGGGGTGGGGGTCAAGGGGAAGGGGACAATCTCTTCTCAGTGGTGCCCAGCCACAGAACAAGGAATAATGGGTGTAAGCTAGAACATGGGAAGTTCCACCTCAGCATGACGAGAAACTTCTTTAGTGTGCGGGTGCCAGAGCCCTTGCCCAGGCTGCCCAGAGAGGCTGTGGAGTCTCCTGCTCTGGAGACTTTCAAACCCGCCTGGACGTGTTCCTGTGTGACCTACTGCAGGTGATCCTGCTCTGGCAGGGGGGCTGGACTAGATGATCTCTGGAGGTCCCTTCCAACCTCCAACATTCTATGATTCTCTGATAATACTATGATACATATCAGCTGCAGTTACAATCTGCTCCTGTGCCGAGCAAGATGTATGCAAATAACATTTAATCCAATGTCTTTTAGAAGATAGTATCAAAGCTCTTACGTTTTTATGTTCTTCCCACAATCTGATTTATTTGAAATGATACAAAGAGGTACTTTACCTACACAATATAAGGAATGAAATCCAAGGTCACAAGTGAAGCAAGACGTGCACGAATCTTGACCTACCCACATCTGCTGGAACGATACAAGTTGGTGAGGATTCGAGTGTTCCTAGGAAGTGCTGAAACTCTATCCACATGGTGTAACCAGATAAAAGAAAAATAGGCTGAAATGTGCACTCATACAAATGATTCCTCTGTAAATGGCATTCCTTCACCTCTGATTCTGGAGAAGTACTCGGAAAGTCAGAACAATAAATTCTGCTCCTTAAAAAGAGAAAAAAACCACAAAACCACAATGAAACATTCAGTGAATACATTGCAGCTAGAAACTGCTCCTGGCATCAGTAAAATGCAATGCTGAGGGCAATTAAAACAAACGGTGTCACTGGAACCATCTGGGGGGCTTTGGTGATTATCTGGACAGATTTTGAACTTGAATCTGCACTAAATTGATAAATAGCACTGCAGTGTTACTCCTCAAAGCTTTGGCTTTTAGCCTGAGAACAGCAGGACTCGAAGGCTCTCCCCAGCGCAAAACCTTTCAATAAGAGGCAGGTATGACAAGAGCAGGCACCTCCAAATACTCATAAATCACATTACTCGAGTCGTACATGTTAGCAATAAACACAGCAAGGCAGATCTCCAGCCAAGAATTTATTCCAGCTGGGAATACGTCTTTCAAAATATCAAGTGGCGTCCAGGTGAACGCTGCCACGTGGGCCCATCGGGCACGTACGGTGAAGTTACCAGGAGATGGAAATCCCATAAAAATATCAGTTCTGGAGAGCAGAGTTAAAACCCCACATTCCGTCAGTATCGCATCTGGCAACAGAAGAAAGAAGACCTGGATGTTGGATAAAACAGCACCAGATGTCTTATCGGTGTTGGAAATTTTCAGACTTCTCCGATTTCCCCCAAGCTCGTCCACAGCTCAGCTGCGTGGTGAGAGCGGCCAGAGAGGGTACGAGTTACTCACCTGAACCACAAAAGTTACACTGGGCTGAATCTCTCCTTTTCCTGCCAACACAGCTAATCCTGATAAAACTCAGGCCTCATGCTTTGAAGGCTGAGCTCAGCACGCTCTTTTTACAGGATGATAGTTTCTGCTGGTAGCACAGCCCAACCAAACCAGAACACCAGCAGCAAAGCTATCACACCACCGGAGAGCAATTATGCTGTTTTTTCATAACTATAAATTTTTAAGCGTCTTACACTTCAACTTTTTAGCAGTCACTACATTCACATGGTCCTCCATGACTTTTTTATTTCTTTTTCTATTTTTCCTCTTTCAGATCTCACTATTAACAAACAAGAAAAAAGAAAAAAAAAAGAAGAGAAAAAAAAAGAAGAGAAAAAAGGAGAGAGGAGAGAGGAAAAAAAAACGAAAAAGGAAAAGGGGAACAGGGTAAGAGAGGAGAGAGAGGGGAGAGATGAGAGAGGAAAGAGAGGAGAAAGAGGAGAGGAGAGAGAGGAGAGAGAAGAGAAAGAAGAGAGAGAAAAGGAGGGGGAGGGAAGAGAGAGGGAGGAGAGGAGGGAGAGAAGAGAGGAAAAAAGAAAAAAAGAAAAATCACAGTAAATCCTAGCATCTGGGAAGCATTTTCAGTCTGTATTAATGTCCAGACCTAGCAGG